AAGCTGTTGATCTACTGCTAATTTCAATTGAAGAAATAGTAATTTCTGGAAACTCAAACGTCTCGTAAAGATGTAAACTATAGAACGATTCTGAAGATATTTTATTATTTCTAGGTTTTGATAAACGAAATGGGCTATATCATATATGTAACATTAATTGGGCTTGAATTTTAAAATTCATTTTCTGTTTTGATCGATGGACCACATATAATCTACTTTTGGGTTTACAAATCTGTTTTCATGGATTGGACAATTAGGAAAACAAATATATGGGGGCAAAATAAATTTAACAAGTGGGGGCATTAATCTTAGGGCTTAATAATCTACATTAAACTTAAAAAATCTGTTGGGTTCATTGGTCCCTCACTTATTGTACGTGCCTCCGCCACTGGCAGTTACGTACCTCTTGATACTCGACTACCCTTTTTATGTGGTTCAACACATAGCATATGCTCCGGGAACCACTTCAACTAACCATGAAAAGCTTTCTCCGGTTTGGGGTAGTTCATGTTGTGATATTACGCTCTTTGGTGAGAACAAAATAACGTAATATTCAACAACACGTGCTCGCATTTCAGTAGAAAGCTTCTTCAAGTTAATGATTCGAAACACTTATTTTGCTTGGCAGAGATTTCGCATTAGAAGAATAAGTGACTAACGCTAAAATACCACATGTTAAATGTATATATTATATGTGTTCATTGTTCAAAAACATCAAGACTGGCCCTAGACCATGGATTGCCTAAAATAGTAACAAAATTATTGGCCCACTTATTGACATAAATATAAAAAAAAATTAAAATTTAAATGTGCGCGTCGAGAACCCAAGACTTCTAGCTCATCTTACATGTTGATGACCACTGACACTGCACTATTGAATCTCTTATGAAAATTTGTTGCCCTCAAATTAGTAAGATGAATTTAGCGCCTAGAACACAAGACATCCTCATAGGAGTAGTCGAGTATCGACTACGTTAGGCCAGGGCGGCCCTGAAAGACATCCTCTCTTCACAAGCTAGATTTTAAAAGTAAGTTCTACCTTTACTTTTTTTTATGATGTTGTTAGGCATAAACTCCAACAGCTATCCTCTTGACACACATGCACACTGGGGCACTAGCATTTACATGACCCGAGCCTACACAAAATTGGTCTGCATGTTAATGGGCCGAAGCCGATTTGTTATGGCCCATTAATTCCTCGATCATCACGCACGCAGTTCCACTTGTTAGTTTTTAACTTTTTATTATCACAACCACAAATACAATATTTTTCCTCCAAATACAAATACTACTCCATAGCGAATTTAATCTAATATAGATTACCTGTATCTACTTCCCATAACAATCCTATATATAATAGTTGAATTTACACTCACAAGATATGACACCTAAGCATTTTATATATTGACACGTCAGCTTTAACTATTTATTTAATTTCCATCAATTACTGATTCAAACATTTTAGAGAGTTAAGGTGAATAATAAAAAGAAAATACAAGGTTAAGAGAAAACAGAAAAAAGCTACACCAGAATCAACAAATAATTACACGAGAGTTCTATGACTCTTTGTAAACAAGCAAACTACTTAATTATATACTTGCCAAAATAATTATCCTACAAAGTGTGATTCATCTCCCTTAATACCAACTAATATATCTCTCCTTAATACATAGTGTTGCTCGATTTTGATCTTCCAACTTTCCAATTAAGACTAATCACCTACAATCAAATCATGTTGGTCAACCTTAAAGTTTGTGCTTCAAATTTCATCACTTAGAAAGCCGAGAACTTACAACTCCAATAATGTCATAAACAAGAAACTCCTACTACTCTGAAAAGGTTTCCGACTCTTGGGTTGAACACGAAGTTCCCCTTTTAAATATTGCTCTAGCTTTAGTCTATTTTGGTTTCGCTTATGGCTCCGTCTCCATTTCCTTCGTAATCGATGTCAAATGGGCTTCATTTTTTAGATTTATTTTGTATAAAGGAAATTTACGTTCAACTTTGTGATTATTGATTCTATTTAACCGATAGATACAAAGATCACACCGCCGCATCATAATTCGTTGGAACGACTGTTGCCTTCAGTATTAAGGTATTTATTTGAAATTGAACAAAAAATTATATTTAGAAGAGTTTTAAAAAGAAAATTAGGTTTGGGAATGATGGTGATCGGTTGAAGCAAAAAAAAAGGCATAATTAGTTTTTAATCTAACAAGGTTTAGAAAGTCGATAAAAAAATATCATAGATAAGGCATGCAATGTTATTACTGTAGTGCACAACTTAGAAAAATCCAATGTGGGTTTGGATGAAAAATTGTGTGCATGAGTCATGACAGTACATGAGTTCAAAAATTCTAATTGTTTTGGCATGTAGATTCGATTCGAGTAAAGATTTGTCAAGAATTGAGAAAACTTTTAAAAACATGTAGCTCTTATTTTTTTATTGGTTTCAATAGTCTTATGCTCTCTTTTTGTTCAACAACTAATTTTTTAGTTACCTTTCATAATCATAAATAAACTATAAAATACATAAATTACGTAT